GCTTCCGAGAGCTGTGTGCAAATCACTGTCTGACGCTACCTTGCGTATTGTTTGGGAGAGGAGAGGGGGGAGGGGAAAGACAATGCAGTAATAGCATGTACTTATATATCTTTATATGCTTTTTCCGACTGAAATGCTATATTATTCCCACTCCTCATCAACCCCTGGTAACAACTCAGTTTCTTGAAAGCTTTGGAAAATTCCATTAACATCAAGAAATTAGAAGCGCATACCACATTACGATAGAGATTGAAAAGCCCATTCGAATAAATGCGAACATGGGAGTATGAACTAAGAAACAAGTCTCAAAAGTAAAGTTCAAAGTATTGGAGATCAAGAAGTTCCGATGAATCATCACGAGAGGCACTTTGTAATGATTTATTCCAAAATCAAAAACTCAGTAATTGTAAACAGTTACAAAACAATAGCACAAAAAGAAAGACATGAATAACGTGAACTATGAAATGAGCTCCGAATACAAATAACTTATAAAGAGCTAGAAAGAGGTACTATATTTAAACGAAAACTGAGTACTCAGACTTGAAACAAATACCACCAAGATAAACAGCCTGTGGAGAAACTTTTCTAACCGTAACATTTTTTTTGTGTTGACGATGAAAGTTTTCTCGAAGTTATCCCATATCTTGCGTTGATCGAAATTTTGGAATTCTTTCACAAATATTTCAACATTGCTTATAACTTGAGAGTATTCGTGTGGCCGGTAGTTCCATGATCCATAGGCATCCTGATGCATTCTGAATTTATTTAATAAATCATTTAAACTTAAGCAACTTACTGTTCTGCTTCTGTCCAGCAGTCCATGAGAAAAACAATGCGTTTACCAACCAATTCAGAGTTTGCGATAGCAAACCGACAAAAATAAGATAAAGCTTTATGAGACTTCAAGTTGATTCCTGAAAAACTCAAAAATACATTAAATGAACAATAAGTGATACCTCCTGATAACAGAAATAATTTTTTAACGGCGAACACTGCCGAAAACCATATCTTTTCCAAAGATTGTACGAGATCTGGTGGACTTAAACTCAAATAGTAGCGCGATTTTTCTAAAAAAATTTTAGCAGTATACAGCTCCATTTCTGTCTGAAAAACAAAATAGCTTTGAAAAAGTCAAAAAGAAACTCACACTGGATTTCCACTCTTCCAAGTCATCCAACGTGACATCTTGGGTAAACATCTTCTTCACATTTTCAAAGTCTTTCTCATTGTCACAAGTCAAAAGGCATCCATTTGCTGAGTCCATGAGCTGAACTCCCTTCGACAAGAGAACAGAAGGATCTTTCATTAAAAAAATGAAACTTCTCTTCCTCCTTCAGACATTTCAAAGATATAAGAGGATTTCGAATCAAAGGAAGACGTGTAGAGCCCAGAAGTTACCCGCAAGTAAGAGGTGATGGCAGACTGATTGTAAGAACACATGATCTATCCGAATTTGAAGTAAAATGGAAAACACTATGATGGTTATCCTAGGTGTTCGCTTCATATTAGAGGGCAGTCAACAACACAAATCAGAAATTTTAATCAGAAAAGGAGAAAGATGGCAAAATACAATGGAAAAGGGAGGCAGTCACTCGATGACGTGGGAGCTCCCAAGTAATCAATCAATAACCTGTAAGTTGAGGAAGATAGGCGAAGGATAAAAAAATCAATAAAAGCAGAGGAAAGGAGAGAATCTTTGATGGACTCTAACACCGAATGACGAGAGTTATTATTATTATTATATTATCAAGTCAACTTTCAACTCATCAATTGGATATAGGACTAAACAATCGTAGCCTTATTGCAGTTGGAGCAGTTTCTTTCTCCGTCGCCTCCTTCTTCACATCATCAAACACAAAGACAAATTAACTACGCACGTTTATTCAAATAATCATCAATAACAACACATAAGTTAACAAATCAAACTATATAAGAAGAAACTGGAAGAAGATGACGTCACCTTTCTGTATAAACCATCTTCGTTGAACATGAGAAGTTAAATTGAAGTGAAGACTCGGACACAGAAAAAGAAACTTTACTCTGTTCGAATTCTTAGAACTGTGCAAACGGCGGGCTGTTAAAGAAAGGATTCAACTCTCCAGCATATCATATGAAGCGCAAGGTTGAATTCAAGAACGTTTAAGAAAGTTTTGAAATAAAGTTCGGTGATAGCTATCTTCCACTCATAGTTATGAAATCAGTCGAGAATTTTTTAAAAAGCAATTGGTCCTGCCACTAATTCCAGTTGGCGCAAAATTGAAGAAATTCAAATTTAGAAGTTCTGAGTGATATTATCGCGCTTCCGTCTAGGGATCTGGTCATGTATGGTTTCGTTTCTTTTTCGAATGAACGCAGTGGAATCAGAAGCAGCAAAAGCAGTAAGAGCGGTTATAGCAGTTGCAACAAGGTCAGGCAAGTTTGAACCAGGAAAACTCAAACACAAGAAATATGAGAGATAACCCCCTCCTCTGACCGGACTTAAATGATCTACAACAACACATACATAACATATTAAGGAATATAAGAAGAAACAAAAAGATGAACTTACCTCTCAGCAGGAACCATTTCCTCCGGTTCAGATGGAGTAGGGCGATTTCATTTATTATAATTCAACAAGAAAAGGATTGATTCCTCCGTTATTGTTGATATCTTCAATAATCCAATTCGGAGTCTTAAGGTACTCACTTAGATCTATCTAAACCAATACAATTTCTCAGCAAGAATGGGGTGCAATACTTACAACATTTTGAAATGTAAATAGCTTGTTAACCAAATCATCTACTTCATTAGATGAAGGAGAGAAACTGAATCTGTCTCGACAGAAAATAGCTGATTCGTTAGTGTTTTCCGAGCTCGTAGGTTTCTGAAACCAATACATGTAATCATAGTAGATATACAACTTACAACGATGTACTGAAATGTCTGAGCTAGATGTTTAACGAAAAGACTCTCCTCACTTGTTCTCCATAAGCATGATTTCCCCAGGCAGTACAACATCGCTGAACAGCAATGCTGGCAGAAATACAAAGCGCAAGTAACCCTAGCCAGGTTTTTTTGAAAGTGATGTGCTGTTCGGAGAGGTTCAAGTACGAAGGGAAGACATGAATCCTCAGAACTGAAGAATGTTGTATACATAATAATCAAATAATACTTACTGGTTTTCTTTCTCCATCTCCAGGAGATGCTGGTTTATGTATACTACCGATCGTAAACGACGTATGTATACTCCCACATTGCCATGTTCATTCAAACCCATGATCTGACAGTTCAAGCCTGTCCTAAGTTTCTGTCTCACGGCTACGTAGTTCGCTGTTTCGCAGAATTGTTTTGGAGCGAGGGTCTTGAAGATGGATCCTGGCACAGAATAAGGACAAGGCTCTCGGAATTTAGGATATAAAATCGACAAGGTACTTAGAAGTTGGAATGCAGCGTGGTTCTAAAAATCAATTTTTAAATTCAACATACGATACATTTTAAAAACTGCCTCCTCACTCCTTACTGGTTTACTTTTGGTTTCAAATGAAACAGTCCATATTAAGTATTGGATTTGAAGCATGAGCAGGACGTTTCTCTCCTCTGCACTTTTCTCAGCCATCAAGGCAGCTGAAGGCTAGAAATACAATTTAGTTTAAGTAAAAATGAAGAAACTTACTTTGAATGAATATTTCAGACGTTTCACCACTTCATCCACTATGATTGAAATATCATCTGCTATATGTGGGAAAAAGAAACTTTTAGTAGCTTCCATATATTTTCTAAGATTCATCGCTATCAACTGAAAATACAAAAATACAGAATGAATAAAGAGATAGAAAGGTCTGTGGGGACACTCGCTTGAGATCCACTAAGGCAAAGGAAGCACTCTAATGATCACGCAAAGCACCTCCTACTATCAAACCAACAAAACCTCTTTTCAATTTGGTAATAGAATGGCACATGAAGTCTAGTACCACTCCACTACTTATCCTATCATGTAGTTATGAAATCAGTCAGGAATTATTATGAAATTGCTTGGCCCTGCCACGAGTCCAGCTTACGGAACATTGGATAAATCCAAATTTTACAGCTCTGAGTATTATCCTTAAGTTTTTTTTTTTCCTAATATCAGATGAAATGAAAAATGTACGGTCTTAACAAACGTTTTGTCGTACATCAGGACAGTAAAGGCTTTGAACATGATTTGGGTATTACGTTGAATGGATCATTTCGTTTCTTTCTAATTGATAAGGCCATTGGATATATCATATCAGATGTTCATTACTACAACAGGGTACAGCATGTTTGCATCAAAAACTGTATACAAGACCTCTCAAAGGGCGATCAATACGATTATGACAAGCAGAGAGGAAACTACAGGGCAGAAGTACATTCTCGTACAGAAAACGAACTTTTTGAATAGTACATGTTATCGACTATTGGGTTCTATATATATATAATACACGGCGAATTGATCGTATGACCTAGTTGTTAATATTCTCTGTAAGGACAGAAGTACTAACTGGAGGGGTTAGGAGCAGCACGAACAAGGAAGGGGTCCGCTGAATGAAGCTCGCTACTATCAGAATAAATTCCAGCTGATCAAACCTACCTATAGAATTTTTCCCCATCCTTATATCTATAATTGATACATCGAACAACAACATCCCGAGAAGCCTATTATAGCTGAAGGTATGTACCGGAAAAGCCCATTGGATACTAACTGAACTGATAAGAGAACACAGAAAAATCAACTTTATTCAAAACAAAATTAACAATACGTGATAGTATTTGTGAGAGTCGGAATGTATGTTATTAGAAGCCCTAATGATATTCCGTTTCTGATGATCATGAGATCCTCGTAGGCTATCATGTTTTCCGGTTTATCCGGTGCTACTGAATGATCACAATTTCGTTTCCTTTCTACCATCCTACATCGTCATCAGTTTGTATAGGATATAGGAATGATGCAACCAACAGGACCATGTATTGAAGAGCATTATCCTCCGATTTTACAGTCATACAGTAGTCATTGCAGAACCATGAGTTCGTTTGCATGTCAAAATAGATAAACGGGTTTTTAGTCCTAACGTCAAGCTCGGAATACTCAGTGGAAGCTTCCATGGATTTCTTTTCATCCACAGTTCTTGCCAGCACAACATACACTTGCTGAACATCTCGTTTGAGACCAAACTTCATCAAATCCTTGTTGGAAATGAAGAAAGAGCAATCTTTTAAGAGAAAATCAAGAGAAATTGTTATTTCTTGCTCTACTTCTTGACCATTCCAAGTGTATGAAGGTAAGACTCCATTGATTAATGTAGTTGTGAACGTCCAATGCGCTTTACCCACATCTTCCGAAGTTGTACTTGCATCATGCAAAGGTGTCACAGGTTCATGCATTCCCAATTCATCATTCTAAAATATATCTTTCTATTTAATAAATTATTGGATTTTCGTACATTGGTGGAGCCATCAGATACTCTGAGTGCACATAATGCTCGTTTCATTCTGGGAAGCCAATATGCTTCATCTGGATAAGATTTAAACATTCTGAATCGAACAGTAATATGACCAAGCGAAAACAGTAGGAATACCTTTGGATGAACAGATAGAAGAAAGAGAAACAACTTCAAAAACGAAAACTACCATTAATCAGCCATTAAGTACTAGCACACCGATAAGGATGTGTTTGGCTGTACTTTCCATCATTCTCCTTCAATCTATAATTAGAAATTTAAAAAAACGAAACTTTGCAAACTATTTCTATTATCAAACAATGAGGTCTTTCTATCATTTCCTTGTATGTCAAGAACTTCCATCCAACAACGGCCAATACCTAGAAACTCATTGTGTCATCATTCCTAAACAATCGATTATAATTTTCAAAACAAAGATTTCGTCATATTTTTCTTGAACTGAGGTTAAGTATTCTGAGAGGTAGTAATGATTTGGACAAGGCAACAGCAACAACTAAACTATCTCAACAATTCCACATAAATAACACAACAAACTATTTAATCTTTTTTATTTTTTTTTGGCAATATTAATAAAACTAGCAAACTACAACAGAAAGTCTATTCCCTTTGATACAATTTGCGCCGCGTATACCAACTTGGAAAGGTGAGCAACTACAGGGTTAGACGTTATTTCGTTTCACACTTGTGGAAGCGCTGTGAGCGGTGTTTTACGTCATTTCATTTAACACGCGTGAAGAGCCGTGAGCGGTGTTTCACATGATTTCATTTTACACGTGTGGCATGCTGTGAGCGGTGTCAAATGGAATTTCATTTTACACTTGTGAAGCGCCGTGAGCGGTGTTTCACACATTTTCATTTTACACGTGTGGCACGCTATGAGCGGTGTTTCACATGTTTTCATTTTACACATGTGGCATGCTGTGAGCGGTGTCAAATGGAATTTCATTTTACACTTGTGAAACGCCGTGGCGGTGTGAAACACGATTTCAATGAACAATTAACGTGCAATCTAAACTGATCAGTAACTCCTCTGACACCTTTTCCTTGTGCAGGGACATTGAAGATTTTTTATATTTATAATATGTAATGAACCTAGGCTGTACTACTTCAAAGATACTATAGAAGAGCTTTGCCAAATAACTTTTCGAATCTTAAAACCGCTCAGATGAGCAGATCACAAAAACTATCCGTTGCCGGTCAGTTCGCGGTCATCAACTTCAGAAGAAGTTCTTCACGCT